ATTTATTCAGCTTTCAGTTCTAGAAGAAGTGAAGTGCAAAAAAAAATGCAGAACAACTTGACTTTATTCTTTCTCTTTACAATATTCTTTTACGCCGCACTCGTTGCACCTGATTTCCAACATATTTTCCCCTTTGTAAAAGCAATGATGCCAAAGCTTGTCAACGATTTCTACGTCAAAGAACATGACTTACATCGTGTTCATTATAGATCTTTTCTTTTTTCACCAGACACCAACAGTCGACGACAAGGGGAAAACTGACAAAAGAAACGAAGGACGAGAAGGAGGAGGAGCAGACACTCTCGCACGCGTTGTGCACGTGTGAGTCTCTCTCGTCCGTTCCGCATATATTTTTTTTTTTACAACTGGTGGTCGTGATAGTCAGAATTTTTGTAGGTTAAAGAGAAGAAGAAAAAAAAAGAATATAAGACAAACATAGTCATAAAAAAAAGTTCAAGCGTGCATATAATCATAATTCATAGATAGTGACTAGAATGTGACATGATAAATTGTTTTTCCACTTTTCTGATCTTGTTTTCTTCCAATTTCAGATACAGTCAAATACTTTTGTTCTTTTTTTTATGTTTGAAAAAAATAAAAATAAAAAGTAGGTAAATGAATTCATTAATTCTTATGACACATCAAAGGTTTTTGTTATATGTTTTTATCATACAACTTTCAGGTTATGACATTCTTTTTTCTCTGAATTTTTAATATTCTTTCCAATCATTATCACTTTTATTTTCTCTTTCCTGCTGGCTTTTTTTTTTTATTATTATGTATATTACATTATTAGTTGACAAAACAACAAATTCTTTTACAATTTTTTTTTTTTCGTATTTTAGCTTTTTCTTTTTTCTTTCGTTTTTACCATCGTTAATGTCCTGCAGATAGAAATAAATCGAAGAAAAAAAAACCTACATAAACAGATGAATTCAAATACTTGTTTTGCATCCTATAAACATGAAAGCAAATTTTTGTTCTTATTTGTTACAAATTATACACCCATTATATTTTAAAGGAAAAAGAAGAGAACAAATTTAACGACATTTTTTCAGATTCAATCGTTGGCCAAGAAAAATATGTTCATGATTCATTATGTTAAATAAAAAAAGAATATACTGTAAGTATAAAAAGCCTAGAATTTATTTGTAAAAAAAAATTTTGTTTTTTTGAATTAATTAGATTAGCAACAAAACAATAAAAAAAGAAGTGTAAAAACGATACTAACACAAGCATTGAAATTGACATTTAACTAATTTATCTATTGAATTTCTATTGTATTGTATTCATTACAATTTTTTTTTCTCGTTGCTTTATTATTATTATTATTATTATTATTATCGTCTGAAAGTATTAGGACGTGTTACTTAAACCATATAGAAAAGAAGGCAATGTTGCAGCCGTTGGCGTAATGTCCGATGGAAACAAATGTAAGTATATTCAAACAATAATAATGTAGTTTAACAGAAGAAAAAAAAACAAAATTTTTGACCTGTCTATAAGAATTATTGACCTTTTCTGTACTTAGACAAAGACGAAAACAATTTGTTTTTCGTTGTAAGATCATTCTTTGTTTTTTTGTTCTCAATTTTTATCTAGTTGACGTAACTGCATACGCACATCAACGTCAGCAAAATCGATTACCATTAGAAGAAATGGGCAATGTATTGCTTGACGCGATGCAAGGTACTCTGATTTGTCTTGATAATCATAATATTATTATTGATGTATCAAAAACAATAAAAAATTATTTTGGTTTTGAACAAGTTCGTTATAAATATAAAAATTAATTTTTTGTTTTTGTTTATAATCTTTGTTTTTTCTTTAAGGCTGAAATTGTTGGTCTTTCAATATTATTATTAATTGAAGATAGTGAACGTGATTTATTTTCAAAATTTCTTTCTAGTTCATCACAATGTAAGTAAAACAAAATATTTTTATCATTAAAGTATAGAATATATCTAAACCACTATATTAATATTAATGACACAAATGTTGATCCCTTTATCTTTTATAAGAATAAAAATGCTTTGAAAGGAAATTAGTTTTTATCAGGTTACAAACGCAATATTCTTTTCATTCGAACCGTATATAACTAATACTTTTTTGTGTCACATTTATGAATAAAATTATTCAAGAAGAAAAAAAAAAGCCTAGACAATAATAAAAAAAAAAAGAAAACCTATTTAACTTTGTTTTGTTTTTATCTTTTAAATTAACATATCTAGAAATAATAATAATAAATTTGGTTTTGTTTCTTTATCAATTGATAAAAAATTTTTCTCTCGTTCGAATTGTATATAATTTCTTTGGCACATACATGCATAAATAATATAACTCGAGAAAGAAAATATTTGCATAATAATATTTTAAGGGTTTTGCTGAGATTGGTCAAGAAGATTTTTTTTAAAGATGACAATTAATCTACAACCTATTTCATCGATAAGATATAGAATATTTTAGAAGTTTCAATGGAATAAAAATATAAAAATCAAAAGTTTAAAATATTTTTTGTAAACATTTTGATTTTATTCAGTATATTTCACATACAAATATCTATGTTTATTAATTAAAAATGATCAACTATGACTTTTTTATGATTGTAAAACAAAAAAAAAAAGACTTGTGAACTAAAAATTAATCACATGAGAATAATATTAAAATTAATCTCAACATTTTTATGAGAATAATATAACAGACGATCGATCACGTATGAAATAATCGATGAAAAAAAGTTAATCAAATTGATTTTATTTATAAAAATGTATTAGCATTATTTAGATTATTATAAAAATTCATTCGAAAAGTTGATTAAATTAATATTGTACTTAGAAAAATATTATAATGAAATACCGAACTTTAAAAATATTCTATGTAAAAATTGACATTTCATGTCATATCTTTGCATATCTTATGTCAATTGTACTTGTTGTCTATTCAATAAATAATACAAAAAAATTTAATTTGTACTTAAAGAACATTTGAAAAATCTCGTTTTTTTTTTTTTTTTTGATTAAAAATATTTCATTGATTATAAATTTAGTGTATGATATTTGTTGTGTTCGAATGATAATGGCTGTTACAAATGAATATCGACAAGTAAAAGTACATCGAAAGAAAAAATTTAGTCACGACAATGTTGGTAAGAAGAATACATTTTTGTTTTTATTTTTTTCATTTTTCTTTTTATTTCAATTTATTAGATGTACATTCAACAACAAATCGATATAGTAGTTCAATAGGAACAATACTTGTTTTAACATTAGATGATTCATCTTATATTGATATAACACTTTTTGATGTATATAAAGAAGAATTTTATACAAAAATGAATTTAATAGGCGAAATTATATTCGAAGATCACAGGTATGTGAGAAAAAAACAATTTATTGAAGTATGTCAAAACAAGACTTTTTGAATATAATGATATTTTTTCTTTAATAATTAAATTTGAGAATTTTCTAATTTAATTCTATTGCCTATTAAAGAAACATGTTTTTTTTTTTTTTTTTTTTTTACAAAATATTTCTTATTAAAAATAGCCTAAAGAAAAAATACTCCTACTACCTTGAATATCCTTTGGTTACAATGTCGATAATAATTATTAATTGAACTTTTTCTATATAAATCGAAGTTTATGTACACGAAGCATTTTGTTTTTCAAACAGAATGCATGACTGTTGATACTAAAAATTAAAAGAAAATTTGATCATCTGTAGAATTCTATAGATAATCCTAATGCTAGACTGTTTGTTCTAATAGTTTAACAAAACAAAAAAACAACGCAAAGAAAAGGGGGGATGTCTCTATAATTTAGACAAGGATAATTTTTTTTTAATAACAATGTAATAGGATATACAGAATTATATTTGTTTCTGATAATATGAAACCAAATAAATCTACTTTAATCTTGAAAAATGAAAGGTTGTAATAATGTCTCTTGTAATGAATAGCTTATTCAGATTAGGATTTATTTTTGTTTCCTAGTAGAAGATGGAAGATTAGAAAAGTTATTAATGAGATGAGTACGTTGGTGTGTGTAATAGAAAATGATTCGAAATCTTTTTGCTTGATATTTGATCTTTCATAAAATGAATAGAAGACTTTATACTTTTGACGTTTAAGTCGATGTATTGATCGACAGTTAAGATTTTCAAATCGAAAAGATAGAAAAACATATTGATAAGATAATACACGGTTGGAAAAAATATTATTCCAGGGGGGTAACGCTATAATTTCAAATAGAAGACATAATAAATTTTATATCAAATGAAAGCTCGTTAAAAATGGGGTTTATTGGTATTAAATAGTGAGGATTATGAAAACCTTTTAATGTCGAGCTTAATAAATTTTCAGAAATTTTATACTTTTTTTGGGATGAAAAATTAAAGTAATAGTGATTCAAGAATGGAGTAAAATGTTTTTCTTGAATATTTTTATACGGTTCGATAGAGCTCGTCGAGCTCTATAAAACTGTATACATTAAAAAAATTTGAAGACACTTTTTTGCGATAAAAAATTCAAAAAACTATTTGGAAAATCTTAGAAAACATGAAAAAAATTCATATTTTTCATGTCGAAGAACAACACTTACTTTTTCAATAAAAGTAGCTTTTTTCATTGTTTTTACTCCGTCAGGCGTTTCGAAACATACTCATTAGACGCAGCTTTTCACACTGCATCGAACGAGTATATTTCGAGACGTCTGAGGTAGTAAAAACAATGAAAAAAACTACTTTTATTGAAAAATTGAGCGGTGTTTCTTCAATTTGAAAAAAAAAAGAGTTTTTAAATGTTTTTGAGGTTTCCCGAGTAGTTTTTAGAACTTTTTATCTCAAAAAGATGCCTCAAAAAATTTTTAACATGCACAGTTTTGTAGAGCTCAACGAGGTTTATCAAACGATGTAAAAATATTCAAGAAAAAAAATTGACTTCATTTTTGAATCAGTGGCACCTTGATTTTCCACCCCAAAAAAATATAAAATTTCTGAAAACTTCTTAAGTTTGACATTAGAAAGTTTTTACAAGCCTCACTATTTAGTATCAATAAACCCCATTTTTGACGAGCTTTCATTTGATATAAAATTCATTATGTCTTTTATTTGAAATTATAGCGTTACCCCCCTGGAATAATATTTTTTCCAACCGTGTAGATCAAGAAGGATATTTTCGAAAATTTGAAATAATTATATATCGATGCAAGCGCAGCTTAAGTCTTCAGAAATGAAAATAATATGAGTTGAGCATTGGCAGATACAGCGACTCATCCAATTGGTTTATACTTCTTTATACTCTGTAGTTTATCTACAACCGATTTATATAATTCAAAAATATTATTGTGTTTCAATTCGAGGTTGATTGAAAGTTGTAGTAATGTTTAAAACTTTATGTTTTCTGATTTGAGAATATTTTCATTAATCTCAATATTTATACTATGATAAAAAAAATATCTGTCTAAAGCTAGAAAGTGTTATCTTTCTATTCATAGATAAATACAATCTTTTGAATAAATTGAAAAAAAGAAAATCTAAACATTTATTTAAAAATTAAATAAAATATAATCATTATTTAAAATATTTGTTTTCTTATAGAGGTGCCGTAATAACTGGTTATTTACCACATGAAATAGTATCTCAATCAATATTTAACTTTGTTTATCATGATGATCGTCTAGTTAAATTACATGCATTATGGAAATGTAATTTAAATATATATATATATAAATTTTTTTTATTTCAAAATTTAATTAAAAACAATTTGTTTTATTTTTGTTTTAGGTGTAACAACCGGTGCAAGTAAATTACAATGGCGTTTAAATGCACGTGATGGTTCATTAGTTTTTCTTTATACTGAATATAAATTAATAGCTAATCATCAAAATCAAGATACAATCGTTGCTCGTAATGAAGTTCTTGAGTTAGTAGAATCATTAAAAAACAAAAAACAAGAATTTCATTTTTTTTCCTCTTTGTATAAATAGTCCAATACAACAATCACAATTTGATGAATTACAAGCAGCTTGGAGACATCAATGTGCAGCAGATATTAAAGGAAATAGTTCATCATTTAAATTAAGTATGTTTTTTGTTTTTGAAAAAACATAATCTAAAAAGAATATTGAAGTATAGAGATTAAAATTTGAATATCCCTTCCACAGACATTATTCATGTACGACTAAAGATCGTGTATCAATAACGTTTTGTTATAATATACGAACTAATAGTTTCAGAAGTACAATAGGCAATTTCTATTTATTTTAAAAAATTGACAAATCATATATCACTCGATACAAGTTTTTACTCTGATTTCAAATATGTCTTTATACGAAAAACTTGTATCTCGATCTAGAAACATTTGCGCTAACTTAATATATGTTAGAACATTCTCTGAAAGTTTTGTCAATATTTGACTAGTAGAAAAAAGTAATGGTCAACTTTATTGAAGATATCTTTTGAGGAAAAAAAAGAATAATTATTTGTTTCTTAGAAATCGATAGAATAAAAGTCTTCATTTCAAATTATGCATTGTCTTTTCTAAACTATTACAATTTTACTTGATTGTTTTTTTCTCTGACAAAATTTTTATGAAACAATCGAACTACAAAATTTGCTCAGCGATAGAGGAAAAGTTAAGTGAATAACTTGGAAAGGACAGTACATGGGAACCAACCTTTTATAGACTTCTACTCATCTTGTTGGAATTTACTAATAGGCAAAATATCAGTTCGATCGGCGAGTCACACTTGATGGACGCTTCTCTTCATGAGTTATCGAATTTTAAATATGTCGATTTTCTAGAGACTCTAAGTTTTTCAAAAAACTCGCATTTCGATATATCACAAACTAGATATATGATTAGCAAGAGAGTAAATACATTATGTTTCATATTTTAATCTCACATGAAATGCACTAACAGGTTATTTTTATTTTTTATTTTAGTTTCATCATCAGATATAGATTCTTCTTCTTCTTCTTCTTCTTCTGCTTCGATTTCAACTGGTGATTGTCGTATATATGTACCATCATTAAATATGTGTTTTTCAACGAATAAATTACAATCATTAAAAATCGTAGGAAATATATTTGATGTATCGAAATTAGCACGTCCATTAACTATTCAAGATTATATATCAATATTAATTAATAATGATAAATATCTTGATAATGAATTAGTAAATATAATTAATAATTTACCATCATTAGTATTACGTTATAAACGTTTAAATAATAATGATAATCAAACAATGAATGATGCAGATATTTCAGGTTAAATAAATATTGAAATTTTATTTTTTTTTGTTTTCATGTTTTTTTTTTCGTTTTAATTATAGATATAACAATGGATGAAAAATTACCATCGGATTTTTCATCATCATCATTAACTAATTCATCTTTAGCTAAAAAAGATAATTCAGATTCAATTGTACGTGGTATACTTAATAATTCAATGAAATATAATCATGAAAAACAACCCGGTTTGAATTGATTTCTTAAATACAAAAAAAAATATAAGTTTTCTTTTCTTGTGTTTTCAGTTGATTCATCATCATCAACATTAGTTCGAATATTAAATGGTAATACGGTACAAAATGATAATACAAAAATACCGATATCTCAACAATCATCTCAAATAAATTCATCAAAGGTTATTCAATAAAATTAAGATTATTCTTTTAATTAATTGATGTCTCTTTTTTTTTTATTTTTAACATATAGTCAAATCAAATACCATTAAATTCTGAAACAATTCAACAACAACATATTGATTTTATTAAAAAATATACATCAGGTACGAAAAATATAGAATTCTTCCCTCAAGACCAGATGCAGTCAGCATCCTATCAGACGAGTGACCCGAAACAAATAGCCGTTAGTGCTTTGCCTAGAGTTATTTCATGGCGTCACGGTTAAAACATATCTGAGAGGATAATGAGATCATATATCAAAATGAAACATCCATAAAATTATTCAACCAAGTTTATTTTCAATCGTTTCCCACTGCCATAACTGCTAATAAGCATTCAAATAGTAATTTCTGTAGAGAATTTTTTTTAAATTCAACAAGAATTTTCGAAGATGACAATGATTGCTAGTTTTTCAACTGCAAATAGAATTCTCTACACAAATCACTATTTCAATTCTTATTAATGTTTACAACAGCGCAAAAAAAAAATATTGAAAAATAAACCTGGTTAAATAATTTTGGGAATCACTATATAACTGATGGTAGGGAGCTGAGATATCCGTTGCGGCTAGAAATCTGCCGCTGACATGATGGTTTTCGAGAAACTCTACTACAAAATTAGCACAGTTGGATTGAATCTATCAGACTCAATCTCGATTCTGACTATTGAACTTGTAGACACTCAAATCGGGTGCAAATCCAATAAAAAGAATAGGCTGCTGCTGACATCATCGCAGCGATGATAGCATTGCCATGGACACTTCTGGTAGAGAGCTGCGGGTTCAGATCCATAAAAAAAAAAAATTTTAATAAATTCTTGAAATTATTTATCAATTGAATATTAAAAAATAATATTTTTGTTTTTATTCTAGCAAAAGAAAAATTAGAAGCTCAATTAGATATAGCACGAAAACAAGAAATAGCTAATGGTGGACAAGCAAGTGATGTTATGAAACGAGTAAAAAGAAAAAATATTATAATTAAAATATTTATTATTATGATTTTCTATTAATATTTAGAATACTATACTTAATAAATTATCTCAATTAGAAAATATTAAAAATAAACATTTAGCACGTACACTTGAATTAAGACGACAAACTCAACAAATGGCAACATCTGTAATTGGTAATAATATTGAACAAAAAGATTTACTTAATGGTTTATTTAATTCATCATCTCCAAAATCAATTGGATATATACCAATGGATACTAATAGTCCAACAAATATTTCATCATTATATAATTCACCATCACCAACATTTTATCCATCAAGTTATCAACATCAACAAAATTCATCTCCAGTATATCGAGCATCACCATTACAATTTGATTCAGGACAAAATTCAACATCATTTCATGATTTACATACAAGAGTTAAAACTCCTGTATATGATGAATTTTTAATGTCTTCATCATCATCATCACCTTCATCATATATACCAGTGAATAATCCGTCATTATCTGTACATTCATATATGAATGTTTCATTTCAAGGCGCAACAAATAATTCGACACCGATGAAATCTTCTTCTTTCAATAATCATCATCATCATCATCATCATCATCATCATCACAATACTACTTATCCTTATTGAATGTATTATTATTATTGTATAGTTTATTTTTATTTTTATTTTCAATCAACTGTGATTTGTAAAAGCGCTAGTTTTTGTAACTGTTAAGACGGTTACACATACATACATATGTCCACTCTAATTTTCTTTTCATATGTATCGCTCAAATATATGTCATTCTTGTTTGATTTTCTTTTATTTGACAGGCAAGGATCGTCATTATTTGTAAAGTGTTATAATTTCTTTTGTATTGTATGGTTATATATAGATATATATATATATATATATTATATTTGTTGTTCATTCTATTTGCGGGCAATAGCTTTCTTTATTTGAACACTGCTTTGTTTTTTTCTTTTGTTTGTTTTGTCGGGTTTTTTTTTTTGTTTATTTGGAATTTTATGATTTTTATGTGAATGCCTCATTTCGTTGTTTTAAATGAACAGTAAGAGACAAAAGAAAATAAAAAGAAGAATAACATACACAAATTATTTATTAATATATATATAAGTCATTAATAAGTTTTTAATTTTAAATGGATATTTATGATGATATTTGATTAGTTGTTTTATTTGTATGTTCAGATATATTATTATTATCATCATCATCATCATCATCATCATTATGTAATGTTTCATAAGGAATATTCGATATTTGATTATCACTTGATTTTGATGAGTTTGTTGATGAAGAAGAAGTAGAAGATGATGATGATAATGATCGTTGTCTATTATTTTCATTTGAAGAATGATCTTGTACACTATGTTTACGAGATTTACGATTAGTTTTAGTTGATGATTTATTATTATGATGATTTATTGTAGAATTAGATGATACATTAACAGATTCAGCTAATTCACTCGTACCATCATATTGAGATGTGATTACTTGATCATTGATACTATTTGTATTACTTTGAGTTATAGATGTTTGATTGATTGTCTATAAAAAAAAAAAAAACATGCATAGTTAGTAAGAAAAATACATTAGTATTTTTCATCTGTCTATATCTTTCTTAGCAAAAAAATGTATATTTATGATAGAAGATCTTCACGTGTGTAAGCCTCGGTTTTATGCCACATTGTAGAGTTCGATGGTATAAAATGTTCTACCTTATAAACTATCTTTGAACTATTAGGTCAATCTGAACTTTAGAAACATGATTGTAAGTTATCATTCCGGAAATTTTATTTCCTATGCTATTTTTATTCTTAGTATTGAAAACTTTAACAACGGATGTGCTTCACTCAATATAAATAGAAGTTTTAAATATATCTACACAATATTACGAACATTGCGGATGTACAGAATTGAACTATTGTTTTCAAAACTAATTAAGATTCTCTTGTGTTACTATTTTAAAGGCATAGTAATGAAAGTCTTGTCAGAACTCTTGTTTTCTATAGTGCTACATTTTATTTAGTTGTTTTGCCTCAATTAACATAATGAAAATATCTACAATGACAGCTGACAAATATTTTTCTGAAGTTGAGATTGACCTAATTCCTCAAAGACAACTTATGGAGAAGAATATTTTATATCATTGTGATTAACTTATCGAATACGAGAAATTAGCATAGAATCAAAGAATTACACTTGATGACTTTTCCTCATTAGTAGAATAATATCTTTACATAAAAATATACAACTATAATAAATCTTCTACTTTTTTTCTTTTTTATTTAATTATAAAATATTTATAACATACTTCTATAAACAACACATCTGTTTATTTCATATTGAAATAGTCAGATTAATAAAAAAGAGTTACAGTTTATATGACATATTGTTTATTTAATAAATGGATAAACTATAATCCTGTAAGATTATTCATTCTGTATTATTATTGACAAGGTTGTCAATAAATTCTAATCAATTATTAGAATATTTAAATAATTATAGATAGAATGAAAAGAAAATTAAATTTTACCTTCTTAGAATTTTCATCATTAACATTTGAACAATTATTATTTCTTCTAAAATAATTTATCAATAAAAAAAAAAAAAACAAAGATTTAAATAAATAATTCAACAAACTCTATTAAAGATGGATCTTGAAATTTTACATCATGTATTTCATTATTAGCCATGATTGTTATTATCTTTCACGATAACACTACTAAACTAATAATTCACATTGAGTCACATATTTAACGAATCGATAAAAGCGCTACAATCAATGATTATTACCGTACGAAAAAAAAAACACAACAAGCAAAAATTTTCAACATCTTAGATAATTATAATAATGAATCGAAGTTTTTGCAATATGCTTGAAGCTAGATTGATCGGTTCTTTTCTAAATAAAGTACTAAATTAGATCTATTTTTTCATCAAATTAACAAATTTCTATTTGTTATTAAAATTCCAACTATAAATTTTGAATCTTGGTTCACATTGAAGAGAAATTAAATCTGATAAACTTTCGTATCGAGTTCACTTTTCTCGACTCTTAATGACTATATATATATATATATAATTTAAGTTGAGATTATTATGAAAATACATAAAGGAAAAAAAACCTATTGATTCAAAAGCATTTGTCATCTTAATGACTTCTATACCGATCGATGGTTCGCGAACATCGCTCTGTCAAATGGTGAAAATTGAGACTTTCTATCTCGTTCCTATCAAAAATTTATTCAAAAAATGATAATCTCCTTTTTATTTTGAATTGGATAATAGTAATCTAATACATTCATTTCTTGTGTCGTCAAACAATATGTACGTTCATCGTTATAAATTGTTTTTTTTTGTCAACAACAGCTGGATATAAATGATATTGGCACGAAATTATACTGCAAATAACACTAAAAGCTATATATAACGATTCATTGACTGTTACCATAAGATATGGATAAGACAATCCCAGTCCTAATGAGATCGGAACCAATATCTTCTATAGTATTGTTGATAAGATAATCCTGTGACCTAAAAATGGACTTGAGTTCCTCTTATGTCTAGTTACGATTTATTTCCTATCATCTGATGTAATCTGTATATTGCATATAGAATGAGTGAAAAAAAAACAAAAGTGATCATTTTTTTGTTTTCTTGACCTTCATTTGTCGACTTTAAAATATGCAAATCAGCTTATCATAGATAAATATGAAAATAGTTTAATAAAATCAAATAATAAGATAACCGATAATATTATCCGTATGAATAGGTATTAAATATATATTCAATGAATATAACCAAATATTTATAATAATCAATTTAATACTTGCTATCAATTCTCTAATCTTAATTGTTTTTATTTTGTCTAGAAAATTTATTCATTCTATTACATACAATATCTTATGAAGAATTTTTATCTAGACCAACAGATGTCACTATATATATGATTATTCTTCATTCATATATATATATATATATAGACAAATTCATATTTAAATATCTATACAATACTCAAAAGAAATGTTTAACTTTGAATAAAACATTATTGTTTAGAATTATTTATCATTGATTGTAGCGCTTTGATTACTATGTGTTGTTTTTTATTCATATTTTTTTGAGGTCGTCCTACATGATTGATGGCAGAATGATGATAGAATGTATATATATTCAGACATCCATTTATATGTACAATAACTACAATTGTACACGACATATATAACCGTCGTGAGCCTCTACAACTAATAGAAAAAAAAATGAAATGAATTTAAATAATGCAGACAAAGATTTATTTTTTAATCAACATTGTATTGAATTAGCTAAATTATTACGTACAGAACGAACCGAAGATTTTCTTCATCTCTACGATAGTTTACCATCAGAATGGAATGGGTCTCGAGTGAGTAATATTTCTACGTTCTATTCTAGAACTATTTTCTAGATAATATTTAATGACGAATATCTACAGCTTGAAGAAGCAAAAGAATATATTCGTCAATTACAAGAACTCAATGAAAACGAATTTGAATGTATTTATCAACGTATATTTCATAACGAAGAAAAACAACATTCTTCAACTATTCTTATGTCACAATTACCAATGATTCATAATGATGATGAACAAATAAATAATCGAATAACATCAATATCAAATCGTCAACAAAGAACAACAACAACAACAACAACAACTAATAATCTTGTATGTGATGAAAAACATGATATATCATCAAAAAATTCTTCATCTATAAAGTAATTTTAATTATTTCTTTTTCTATTTGATTTTAATAATATTATTTTAGACGAAATAATGATGAAACAAATACTAAAACGCGACGTCTTCAATCAATAACTAATAATAATAATAATAATAATAATAATAATAGTACACATATTATGTTACAAAATAATTGTCGAACAACACGTACTCCTGTTGATTCTTTTGTTCAATTAAATCTTAAACCATCTATTGATATTACAGTAGAAGAATATAAGAAGGTGAATGATGTTTTCTTGTTTTTTTATTTTTTATTTTCACTATCTACATAAGATAATGAAAATACTTGAATGCATATTGACATGAGTTTCATATATATATATATATATATTATTATATTAGAGAAAAAAAAGAGAAAACGATTGGCTTATGGTTGTTGTATGCCTTTCTTTTAATATAGATGCGCTGATAGGTGTATATGTGTTTATATATATGTGACAACAGGTTTGCGTGTTACTAAGGCACAGAATGACGAATAACAATGATATGTCTCCATTTTCTGTTTTTCTTTTCTTTCCTTTCATGGTATGCCTTTTTTTAGACAAGAGGTCCAATGTCTACTACCAAAACTGGTAATACCACTAATCGACTTACTGTGTCTCAATCAACTGATACAAATCAATCGAGCATAACACAACCTAATGTACTTAAAAATCATAAAACATCTATAAAAAATAAATCTCATGAAGAATCAAATTTTGATTATTTTTCAAAAATGAATAATAATAATAATAATAATGATGATGATAATGGTGATAGACAACATTCACGTTCATCATCATCATCATCATCACCAAAAGCAACAATAACAAATCGATTTACAACATCATTAAATAATAAAAATGATTTATCAATTAATCAAACATTTTCACAATCAAAATCTTATGAACATAGTAAATTAATTCCTAATAATGATTTTGATTCTCATGGTTCATCAATAGCAACAAAATCATCATCAGAAAATAGTGGAAGTACTCGAAATGGTTCAGCTACAGATAGTGATGATGAACATAGAAAAAATACATTTCAATCAACTAAAAAATCTTCTATACTATCAAAACCTAAATCATTACATAATGATGATACACCAACAATAGTGGTAAATGAAATTCATTTTATAATATAAAAATCAAAAAACAAAAAACGATTTAAATATAAATTTTAGTTAAATAAAATCAGCAATCATCCAACTAGTCAACATGATCGTATTTCATCTTTACGTAAGTGGTTTTTTTTTCACAACGAAAAGGAGAAGAATAAGAAGAGGAGAAGAACAAACAAAGTTTATTATAATAAAAAATATTTTTTATTATTTAGCTCAACAAGATAGTTATGAATTAGTTCAATTGAACGTTAATGATGAACATGATGTACGTGCTAGTCAAGTACCTCGTTTTAAACTACCTGCTATTGATGGTATGTACTGTATTATTTGATTTTTATGTATCAAATGTCGATTGTTTTTTTCACATTATGTGCTTGTCATGTATTGAATAGGAGAGTAATTTCTGATGATTTTGAAATGACTAGGCGAAAAGAGTATATATATATGTATGTGAGTCATACTCCTGTTTTTTTATATCATCGAAATCGACGTAAAAGATAGGAGAAGGAAGAAAGAACGAACGAAGCGAGAAATACTATATTGCAAAACTACACTATAGTATTGATGCAACTACAGCATCTTTTCTTTCTTTCTCTTGTCGTCGACAACGACCGACTGAGTAGTAGCCCTCTCTCTTTTTACATTCTTATCTCATTTTTCGATATAATTACCACACCCTTAACGTCTTCGTCATCCACCCAGTTCAACACACGATAAAAAAAAACCAGATATACATATCTAAAACTCATCATGATTCGTTCAGTATCCAGGTGGATATGTCAGATCTATTCAATATATGGTTTTGGCCGTCAATAATGTTTTTATATTATAAACTATCCGATACTCTTAATTATAGTTCAAATGGTGGTAAGATAAAAAAAAGACAACAACAACAATAACATAAAAGAAATTTTTAAACTAAAATTTAAAATAGAAAAAAAAAAAAAAATTTTTTTTTTATATTACAGATCCAAACGGCATTAATAATTCAACTAATGATGTTTTTTCTTATACGACCCAAAGGTCTCCACAAAATAATGTCTTAGCATCTAGTCATCAAAATCGGTAAAAAATCTTCATTGTTTTTTTTTTTCTAAATCCAAAAACGAAATATTTATTTTCTTCTAGAAATCCTGAACATCATGAGCAATATAATACCAACCATTCCAATTCATCACGTAAACCTTCGGGTCGAACAACTAAAAAACGAAAACAAGTATTAAAAAAAAAAAAAAAACGTTTTTTTCAAATATATATTTATACAATTGCTCAAACTTCAGTTAACCGAATAGGTTGATTTTTTTCACCAATGATAAAGAAGTATTCATATCCTTAAGAAAAAGAAAAAAAAAAAAAAGGATCATTTTGATGTATCACTATATACAGTCTTTTTTCGATCAGTTTCAATCAAGGATTTTATGAGTTCATATTTCACTTAATCGTAGTGAACTGCATATTTAAAACTACCTTCAATGAATTCATTCCACAACTTTCAGGTAAAAATTCTATGTATCATTGAGATCTTGATTGTAATTAAATTTCAAATTAAAAATCTCAAAATTAAGATTGTATTAAAAAATTGAAGTCCTTTCTCAGAGGAGAAAATTCAACATATTTACAGACAACGTCTTTGTAGAAAAATAGAATACTTATTTTCTTATAAATCGATCGAATAGAAATCTTTCTTTCAAATTATAGATAATTAATTATTCAAATCTTTTTTTTTTTTTTTTTCTATTAGTCAAATCAACAAGAAATAATTCGTACAGAATTAATACCAGGTCATCGTGGTGATCTTGATGTTGATGAACTTGTTATGTTTATTGATGGTAATTCAGCATCAAAACAAAAACAACGACATAATTCAGCTCCATTACGTTCAACAGATACAAATAAATTTAAAACAATATCATCATTACCTGATACAAATAGTAATACTACTACTACTGCTACTAATATTAATAATAATACAATAACATCTCGAAGAAAATCTCGTAAACCAATTAAAATTATACAAGAATCAATAAATAATAATGAAAATAAAACATCACAAATTGATGAAGATATACAATCGATTGAGTTTATTGATGATGATGATGATTTAACAACAACACATTCCATCAATAATACATATAATGAAGAAAATATAACGAATATTAGTCTTCCAAATGATGATGAATCTCATTCAAATACAATCGATATTGATACTACTAATGATTCTAATACAACCGTGAGTATCATTTTAAATTTTATGAAAACTTCTTTTTTTTTTAATCTATATAAAATATATTAAATCAAATCAGTTATATGGAAAGTTCGCTTTTTTTGTTTCAAAGTATTTATAGACAGAATAAACCATAAATAACACTACAATAAAAAAAAAAAAAAGAAATTGAAATATTTTCACTTCAGATTATTCAAATAGACTGATTTATTTTATTTAAATAGTAATACAAGTTTATTCATATGAATAATATAAAATAAATATTTCTATTATTGATTCTTACTAAAGAAATTTGACTTGTAGTCAAGTAAGCGAAAAAATATATAAATATGGTAATCCTCTAGGATAGATTTTAGTTGTTATTGAAGAGAATAAAAAGAAAAAATCAAAACAAATATTATTAATTAATTGATAAATATAAAGAAAACTTTTCAAGATTAAATTAATTCGATAAATATTAGAATTTATATCCAATAATTGAAATCTATTAGATACTAAATTAATAATTTCATTGCAAAACAAAAAAACCTAATATTCTATATTTGAAAGTATTTCAGATGGAATGAAAGTTTCAAATTAGATACTTTATTAGAGAAAGATGATATAAATATATAAACACACATTATATTTTAGTTTGAAAATTAAAAACTTTATATATGGTATTGATTTATTTAAAATTTGATGAATTAAGTATATGATTAGTCTTTTTTTTTTTTTTATTATTTTATATAACCATTGGAAATTATTTTTAAATTAAACTTTAAAAAAAATTTCTTCTTTAACATCTATCAACAAAATTGTTCTTTTGTCTTTTTTGTTTTTTGATAATAATAAAAATTGAAAATTATTTTTGTAAATATTTCTTAGAATGGTGAAATATCATTACCCGAATGGTTAGAACCTATACATAGTATATCTTCAACAAATGATGATATTGATTCATTTTCATTATCATCATCATCAACAACAACAACAATAAATAATTTGAACAGTGAAATTATATCTGAACCATTTGTAACTGTAACACATCGTCGTCGTTTAACAAAAGAACGTCGTCAAGATAATAATTCATTATTATCAAAATCATCTCGTTTACCATTATCTTCAAATATAAATGATAAACGTCGTTTTCAATCATCAACATCAACACAAAATGGTATTATACGTTCAACAATACGTAATAGTCTTTCAAATATAAAACCATTTATTTCTACAACAAAAGAAGAACATACAAATAGAATTTCTTCATCACCACCTCCATCTTCACAAGCAATATCTCAAACATCAGTGCAACCAACATCAATACCACCACCTCAATCACAACCTCCACCACCGCCACCAACATCATCATCATCATCCATGTCAAATCATGTTATTGAACAATCATCACCTCGTTTATCATCTCATTCATCTTCATCATCATTACCATCATTACTTAAACGACAATCAAAAGCTCCACCTGTAGTTTTTCTAAATAAATCTATAGATATTGAATTAAATGATGTTTCATTTGGTTTTGATGTTGAAAATCCAATAACTGATAAACCTCTAACACCAACATCATCATCTCTACCTATTGAAAAAGAAATTGAAACTGAATCTAATACATTATCATCTCTACAATTAAATGATTCATCAATAAATTTAAAATCATCTTCTTCTCGACGTTCATATCAACAACAACAACAACAACGAAATAATCGTGGATTATTATTCTATTCTGGTTCTGATATACGTCCACAACAACAACAACAACATCATCATAGAAATTATCCATCACAATCATCTTATATTGATCCATTACTTTTATTATCATATAATCAATCACGTTTTGCTACTAATTATTCTCAACAATTAGCTTATATGAATTTATTACGTACACAATATTTATCATCACCATCTCCATATGTTCTTATACCAACAACATATACAACAACAACAACAAATGATATTGAACAAGATAGTAAAATTCATGATGATGATAATGATGGAATAAATCAAACATCTGAACAAATGCAAGAACCATTACTTATTTATGCAACAATTCCAACACAAACAGGACCAATTTATCTTCAATCAACAAAAAAATCTTATTATGAACTTGAACAATTACAACAATCATCTATGTCAACTATGTATCCAACACAATATTTTTATCCAACACAAACACAACATATTCCATCACATCCAGCTTATTTTCAACCAATAACATCACCATCATTATTAATTGATACAAAATCTCAACAAGATGATACTGATAATGATGATGATGATGATGTTGTTGATAATAATAATAATAATAATAATGATTATGATAAATCAACAAGATTATTTCATCAAACACAACAACAATCATCATCTCATATTATGTCTAATGCATTACAACTTGTTTATAGTCAAGAAAAACGAAATCTACAAACAGATCGTTTTAATCTTGATCAATTAACTGCTTATTTAGCAATGAAATGGACAGATACTATAAATCATTATGAACAAGGTAAAATTTGTTTTATTCAGATTTTCTTTTTCGAAAAGATAATTTTGAAATTCGAAAGAGTACTGCCCAAATTAGATAAAACATCGAAGAATGTCTCATATGAATTTCTTATAATAAATAATAAACGACATTTGCGAAAGGAAAATACTAATAGAGTCCTTGATCTAAGAAACAAAAAAAAAGCAAATCCTAACTTCCTAGATTCTAATACTACAATAGATTTATATAAGTGCAGTACAATCTAGTGCAGTTGTGCACATCTCTAACTGGAGTCTACTTGAATTTCTGTACATTCTGATGTATTTTACAGATCCTAAGATCCTCTTTTTCTTCATGCATCTATCAAGCTCGTGAGTAGGCATGAGCAGAATCATTCGCTTTTTGGTTCCAAATCCGAATTATCATGTCCATATCTATTAGTGAGTCTGTTTGCAAAGAAAACCTTTTCAGCGCATAAATTGATCATAGAAGAAATTACCTTAACTATTCTCTATAATAGAAGGTTCGCCTAATATGTCAGTTCGATCCTATACGAAACTTTATATTAAAACAAATCTGATATTACCCATATAGTAGCTGCGTCAGGATTTTTTGCCAGTAGAGGGGTTGAGCTCTAGAGCTCATTAGGTTCAAGAACTCGGACCCGGCCGCTACAATTTTTTCTTGGAATCCGGAACCAATGTTCGACTCTGGTCGGGTCACAAGAATTTGATCCATGTCGAGCATTGCCCGGAACTGGACCTGGGTCCAATGAGCTCTATTGAGCTCTCTTTCTAACTTCCTGTGAGATCATTATTAGCAAGAACTTTTAAAATGTTGCAGGGAGCTCAATTCCCTCTGCAGTGCCGTCACTAGACAGAAGCCATTTCGAACTTGTAAATTGAGAACCTCCAGTTTCAATCATTAGTTTTTTTTCTGGAAATGAACCCACTTTTGAAAAGTTCGAAGAATGTTCATTACCAAGCAGTTATACTGTATATTTCGAATTTTGTTTTTTTTTTCTTTTTACTTTAGGCGATGATGAGATATTGTTAATGGGTGAACAATAATCAAAAAAAAAAAATTTTTTTCTATAGAAAAAATTGTTTTCACCGAAGAAGAAAAATCTTATTCAAACGTTCAATTGAGAATGGAATTTAATTCTATCATATATTATTTGTTGGTATTCTTTCTTGTTGATTGAACGAGTGTGACGACTTTTCTTTTCTTTTTTTTGTTGTTGTTGTTTTTCTTTTGATGACGATGAAATTTTTTGTGTGAACTTCAAGCTCAAACATTTATCTTATATGTTGCTATTTTTGCAACTTTTTTGACCTTACTGTTTTTTTTTTAATGTACAAAAAAACATACAGACCACAACTGTTTCTTTTTTGTTTGTTTGTTAACCCTTTTTCTCTTTCTCTCTCTCTCTCTCTATATATATATATACATATATGTGTGTATTTGTGTTTTCTTTTATTATTATGACAAGTAGTACATGTGTCCTTTCCTTCTTGTTTTTTTTTTGTGTCTCGTTGTTGTTGCCCAATGTGATAACATTTTTTCTTTTGTCGCTTATGTGTGACGCACTACCTTCTTTTTTTGATTTCTATTTTCCAAGAAGATGCACTAAGCTTCTCTTGTTGTATATGACATTGATTTGAAAAAAGAAAAAGAAAAAAAAAAGCAAGCAAACAAACAAACAAACAAACAATTCTTGAGCAAATTAATGTTTAACCGTATCAAAAACAGTATTTTCTATCGATGATAAAAAATACATATAAAAGAAAAAAAATAAATAAATAAATAAAACCCAGATTTCTTTTCGTCCCGTTTGTGTACTTTGTATTTTTTTTTTTTTTGTGTTCTTTCTTTCGTCTTTGGCCGAGTGATATATATTTGTGAGCGTGTTCTCTGACCATGTCTTTTGTTGTTTCTTCACAACAATAAGTTTTTATCACAAGACTAATTATCATAGAGGATGAGTTAAGAAAAAAAGAAAAAAATAATTTTTTTTTTTTTTTTTTTTTTTTTTTTGAAGTTTATATATTAATTGAAAAACTATTGAACAAGCCACATATCAGGAGCAAGAGACACGTTATGGTAAGCTTCCAAGAGAAAAAAACGTGCTCTTTTTTTTTGTGTTTCTTTTTGATCAATATTATACTAATCTATCTGTGCGTTTGTTTGTTTTTTCTAACCAAGAATGTACTTTTTTTTTTTTTTTGTTTATTTACTTTATTGCGTGCGTGTGTGTGTGTGTATATGTGTGCTGTCCCGTTCGCGCTCCTGTAAATTTTACATCTTCAATAGCATTTTCTTTTCTCTCCTTTCGCATTTATCATCGCTTTTGTTAGTTACTGCTATTGATTTTTTTTTTCGTTTATGTATCTTTTTTTTTTGCTCTCATTCTTTTTTTTGTTAACTGAGTTTATTGTATTACGCTCTATTTCTTTCTCATCCCATATACACAACTTTGTCCTATGACTCTATTTTGAACAACATGCACACATAAAAAACAAGCAAAACAAAATAAACAAACAAACAGGCTTACGAATTATTTTGTTATTTCTTTTAAAAGAGAATCTCATTCCCTTTTCAAGGGTTTCTGAGAAGTGACAAATATTTATGAAAATATTTGAATTGCAATAGTTAGAAATCACCGATCTTTCTCAACCGCAATAAGTCTGATATGGTCCTTTGTATAGATATACCACTCATGAAAGGTTATTAATAAAAAAAAAAAAAACTTACGCTTTCATACGTTATCATTCAAGACGTTTTCAGAGATCAACCTGTAAAATAGAGCTTTTATGTGAGTAAATTATTTTATCAAAATATTTGTGAGAAACAGTTTTTTATTTTAATTTTTACTATTTTATTTTTTCGGATAATCAAAATTTCAAAAGTCTGGGTATAGTTTTCTGGAAAACTCAGAGTGTATCCTACATTGATAATTAATTAGAAAATTCCTTTACCTCATCTGAAGGATCATGTATATATCTATCAATAGAAAAATAGAACACAGTAAATCAAGAAAAAATTTGTCCAAAGTTCGATTGTTACCGGAAGCATCAATTTCAAGAAGGTTTTTTTTCGTTTATACAATCTTCCTATCATTACTTAAAACGGAGATATAATATAAATATATTACATGTCAATCAAAACACTTGTCCTTGTACGAAATACATTACGATAGATTATGCTACCTACCATTATGTGTGACTGTTGATGAAGAGAAGATCTACACCCACATCTTCAAGGCATTGTAGATCTCAAAAGCGTGTCTTTAAGATTACCACAGTAAACTATTTATTTCTTTTGCAGATGTAGTTCTATGCAAAAAAAAAAATTTTACTGTTTGTTCTAGACATCATTATTTGCTTAGATAGTTTCAAAGATCATTCATATAAAAACTCATTTTGATGAATTCATACACTGGGCAATATGTTCATATATCTATCTAAAAAAAAATATAATTTTTTTTTGCGGAAAATCAAGTTTTATGAAACGAGTTGAACCCTTAAGTGTTTGACCAGACAAGTTCAAGATAAGCAGTAGCAACACTAGTCGGATCAGCACGATGACGTAATGAATCTTTAATTGCTTGTATAGTACGTGAAACATAACCTTGAAAAATTTCACCATATCCATCAACATAAACATTGATTGGTCGATCCAAATCAAGTAAAGCATCAGAAAGACATAAAGTGAGTTGTTGAATATCTTCGCTAGTTGTAATAAAAATAGTTTGTCCATCAATTTCACCTGTAATTTTTTGACCTTGTTTAACTTGTACAGTATCAGGTAATGAAATCCAATAAAGACGATTATGAGTAACATCATCTTGAACCCAAACAACTTTTTTTGGCCATGGATTACGTGTCCATTGAGCCATCCAAGATAATGCTTCAGCATCTCGACCACACATCCAATGACCCATATCAGCACAAATATTCACATGATGATGATAACCATTTGGATCTGCTTTTTGTAAAACATCGAGTTGTTTAGACCATTGACGTGCAACTTCATTTCGATTGTAGCTACTATCTTTTTCACCAACAAATATAGCAAATGGTAAATTACGTAAACTAAGTGGTGAAGCATCATTTGGATGTCCAGCCATCATAGCAGCAGCTGCAAATCGATCAGCCATACGTGGAGCAAGTTGATAGACACCATCACCACCTGCTGAATAACCTAATATATAAACACGATTTGGATTAATTTCATTAACCATAATATAATTTTCTATAATACGATCAAACATTGGATCAATATGTTCTTGATGCCATTGATTCCAACTATCTGTAGGACTTCGAGGTACTACCCAAATACCTTCATTTGGATTATATAATTTAATTTGATTTTGATATTGTTGATCATTGACTGATGATGGACAACTACCTCCACCATGCATTGATATCCATAAACTATGACCAGTTGGTGGTCTTGTTTTATTATAAATACATTCATGCCAATGAATTGTTTTACCATTAAGTGTGATACAAGTATTTTCTAATTCAGCTTTTCTTATTGATAATTGTTCTTGTTTTAATTGTGTCCAAAGTTTATCTAAAGTAGTAGAAGCTTCTTGTTTACTTAAACTTAAAAAAGCATCATTATATCTTGTTTTGCTATCAGACCAAGATGTTGTATAATTAATATTGGAATCATCCTATAAATTTTTTTTTTCTAATAATAAGATAAACTCGTAAAATTATTGATAATTCTTACTGAATATGGTTGTTCGATTGTTCTGTTTGCTAATGGATAATCAAAAAATTGTATATTATCATCTGTTGGTGTGATTGAAAAAGTTGCTTCTTCGTTATTATATTGTCTATTCATTTTTTGAATATCGATAAAAATATCTTTAAAAAAAAAGCCTAAGAAGACTAAAAATGTTGATAATATAACGGTCGATTAATTTAACAAAAAATACATTTTATTATTATTTATTTCGTACGTTGAAAATTCTAACATATTTACTTACAGGTATAATCATCTTTTTAGGTGACCATACGTACAATAATAATATTTTTGAATTTAATGTTCATCTGTTAATTCTTCCATGTACAGATTGTGTCATATGCATTCGACAAAGTTGAATTAAGCATTATTAAACCTTAAAGTTGTTACTGCGAGATTAAAATATGAAATATGATTTAATTGCTGTTGCTAATTACAGGAAGATTATTTTATTCTATATACCTTGAGACATATTTTCTTGCCTCTAATCCCCAAAAAAATGCAATACGGAAATAGTTTATATATTGTACCGGACCACTATTGATATACGGTGTAAATTTTGATTGGTCTGATTCAAAACATTTTATTGACCGAGTTCCGATCCAAAAATTCTTGAACCCGATAGGCTCTAGTGGGGAGAGGCGAGTAGGTGCAAATTTCTAACCTATATACTTCAATACTCCTTTTAAACTGTGTTTTACAAGAATGACAGCTAGATGACTTGTACAATTAATATAAACCGTAGCAATGCGAAGAAAGTACCTGTTAAATCTGCGAACATCGATTCTAGGTTGTACTCTCTGTTTTCATCGATAACATAGGATTTTTACATTGGTACGAACATCCATGGTTACTTTGATTTTTGTTTGTATAATTAAATATCAAGATAGACAAAGGATAAGTTTTGGAGATCCGTAAATATTGCCGAAAACACGAACATCGAGTTTTAATTGTAAACGGTAACAATATTTACCATGATATATTTGTAAAATATGTTTTATAATTACAATTCAAAGTAGTCATGCATATCTGTATCCACAAGAAAAAGACACAACCTAGAATGGGTGTTCGTTTTGAATCTTATCTATTTTTGTAACTTTAGCGGTATTTAAATTAAAAACAAAAGATAAAGATAAACTAATTCTTTATTATTTATTTAATTCAAAAATTAATTAATAAATGATCGTCTTTATTTACACTTTTGACATGTTTGTCAATAAATGAATAATTAACCATTCATTGACTAAAAGAATATTATTTTCGACTGTCACATATAAAAGATTTATATGATGATTACTTCTTTATTTTTATGCCATATGAAGTTTATGACACATTTTCTCTCACGTTTATTAAAATATTTTTTTTCTTTTTTGTGAGAATTAAATCGTTCATTAAACTTCATATCATTTATTAGTTTTCTTATGCTTATAGTTTTATATAATATCTGCATAAATATCTAATAACTTCTATTAAATAATTGATAATAATAGTAATAGTCAGAAAATAGTTTCTTCTCCTTTTGTAATAACTAGTATACTAATACTGTTATGACAGATGGTCTATTAGTATAATGTTTGTTCTGTTTTTTATTTTGGTCGGTTGACTAAAAATGGCATTGTTTCTATTACTGATAAGAATAATGAAAAAACAAAATGTAGTTACAATTAGGAGATAAAAAAGAATCTTGTAAGAAATTGTTTGAAATATTTCAAGTTTATACAAAAAACAATATTACAAATAATATTTACGATCTATTGTTTTCAACGTATATTTAATAAGAAATAAAACATACGACTTTTATTTTATGTGCATACTGTGAAGATAAAAAGAAATATTATACAAAAACATTTAATGTAAAGAAATAGAACACTTTTTTTTTTTCTTTTCACTGTATGCAACGAATATTTTTTTTCTATTATAATGATGAAAAACAGAAAAGTATGAATAATGTCGATTACTAAGAATGTATGATTCTTCAGGCTTGAGTATGAATGAAGTAAAAATAAAATAAAGTCGATTGAATCATTAAGAATAGAAGAAGAAAAAAAAATGAATAATGAAAAGATTTTCATGACATTGCTTCTATTCAATACAATCAGTTAATGTAAACTATAATTAGATTGAATAATTTATCATTTGGTTATTTTTCAAAATTCATCTAATGCAAAATAGCAAAGAATTCTCTATGAAAAGAAATAACAAAATAAGTGTCACCAGAATCAATCTATATGATAATTGTACGTCAGCGAAATGAATGTAATAGAGATCTTTGAGATGTTTCATTTTATAGAGAATTCTTTGCTTTAATATTCTACTTAATCTGAACAAAAGGATAATCCCCTATTCTGAAAAATTACATTTCTCATTTTTTTAAGAATTCGTTTTTGGAAATTTGCTAATCAATTTTCGTTATATATATTCGAAGTACTAATTCATTCGTATACTCTTTTTAAATATACGAAATTAAGACATATAAGAAAAAAACAAGAATAATTTTTCATGTTTTAGTTAAATTCTTAAATAATAATTTGTTTGTAACAAGATAATTTTATCTAATCAATCAAAATTTTGCAATTATTCTATCATTAATTAATTTCCATTGTTGAAAAATTTATTTTTATTATCTATTTGATAAAAATATAGAAAAATTTTTTGAAATTTCTTATTTTTAGTTTCTATAAATAAACTCTTTCTTGTAGAAGAAATTAAAACTAATAAACAAAATAATTATTTTGAATATATCTATGGTAATTTGTCTGCAGTTCTATTAATGTTTGATTAAGCGTATTTTATTTAATATGATTGTTATGTTTTCAACAGAAATATAACTTGATTTAGTATAGAAGCGTCAATCAGTACTGGAGACAGTAGCGAAGCGTTGTGTAAACGAGTTTTAGCAGCAGGAAGATGTTACGCTCCCTGTTTAGTGTGAAAATAGAAATCAATTGTTTTTGTTATAATCATACCACAATTTTTGATGAATGATGATATTTCGTTAATATTTGTCGATTAATTTCGTACAATTTGCTTTCTTTTGTTGATTTTTGGATTCATTCAGGAAAATTTTATTTGTACAGAGTACAATAATTTCATCAATTTATTCTAAATTATAATGAAATTAATTGATCTATTCAAATAAATAACATTAGAAAGTTAACATTTATACTGATATTTTCATATTATTTCAGATAATAAACTGCGAATTTATTAAAGACAAAAAAGGTCAAGTATAATTTGATTGCATATTTATTATAGATAATAAGTATAAATATAATTTTATTCTATCATAAAAATCTCAAATTTATCAATCTTTCGATTCTTTATTTTTATTTTATAATAAAATTTCAATCAATAATGAAAACTTTTTTTTTTTTTAATAATTAAAATGTGTTATTTGTTTCTTATTGAAAAGGCGTTATTCCTTTTTTTTTTTTTTTAGTTTGACCCATGTTCGACAATCTGATGACACATTGTCAGACATGAAGAATGATAAATGTCTAACGAAAAATACATATGTTATGTATATAAATCTATTTATACAGAGAACAAATTATTTTATTGGTTAATTATTCATGTTTAGTAATTTAGAAAAGAAATATTAAGTTAATTTAATAAAAATCTCGAAATAATTTTTTAAATATTCGAATTTTGTTCTAAATCAAAATAGAACTATATGTGTCAGCACAGTCGACTTTTATCTACATTGATGGTAGCCCCAGAACATTTTTGTCCTTATTTGGAACCGGATGTATGGAAGGCAAACAAAAAATCCTTGATGATATTTTCTTCGGCGACCTTGTATGACCCTTTAATATGATTTGTTATTTTAAAGAGATATTGATCTTTTTCAATAAGTTCTTACTATATGTATATATTTATTTAGATATTTCTTCTAGACTTTTAATCAAATATTTAATTCTTTTGCTACAAAACAGGAAAAGCAATAAACAAAAAGAGAGAAATGTTTTATGATTTTCTTCGTTGTAAGTTAGTCATTCTCGCTTTATGTTCCGCTCAATTAACTTTCTAAATTGATATGTCCCTTTTTTTTTTGATTATTTATAGTCTCTTATGAGTGTCATTCCAGAATTCAATATAAAAATATTTTATTAATAAAATCTTGATAATAAAACACGATAAAATGTTTAGTCCATTACAATATTCATATGCGGATGATGAATATGATACACGTAAGTTAAAAACGAAAATTAAAAAAAAAAAATATTTTATTTTATTATTCTAGTCCCACCGTTACCGCCGCAAATGAAAGCACCACCAAAAAAAGCTGTAAGATATATTTTGTTTAATAATTTTTATTTTTGATTTGCATATATATAAATATTAGGCTCATCTACTTGATATACCTACTGGTAATAATGCATGGAGTGCTGTATTACAACAAGCAGAAATTCGAAGACGTAAACGACGACAAACAACACCTGAACATCCTGCTCGAGCATTATTTTGTTTAACACTTGATAATAAATTACGTCGAACATGTATTAAATTAGTTGAATGGAAGTATGTACAAAAAAATTCAATATCAATGTCGATGATTATTTTCTTTTTTTGTTTTGTCTAGACCTTTTGAATATTTGGTGCTTTTTACTATTTTTTGTAATTGTGCTGCATTGGCTCTTAGTAAACCATTACCAAATAATGATACAACACCAATAAATTCAAGACTTGTAAATAATAGAATTAAAACTCCGAAAAAGAAAAACAAGGATTAATTAGATCAAAATTGAAATATTAATGAATTCAATTATAAATAATTGTTCCCAAGGGATTTTTCTTTTTCATATATTATAATTTAATTGAATTATTTAACCCATCCATTTATTGTTTCGGATAATTATAGATATGCAAAAAAAAAAAAAAAAAAAAAAAACAGTTGACAACTATCATAAATCAATTAAATAACTTTTAGATTTGTAAAATTAATTAAGATTAAAAACAAAATTCAAATTTTCATTTTAATTTTTTTAATAAAATTTTCTTTCTTAGGAACAAATCGAATATATATTTTTGGCAATATTTACTCTTGAAGTTATTTTAAAAATTATTGCTTATGGTTTATGTCTTCATCCGAATGCATATTTAAGAAGTGGATGGAATTTACTCGATTTTATTATTGTTGTTGTCGGGTAGCGGAGAATTGTTTTTTTGTTTAAATTAACAACAAAACAAAAAATATTTTATGTAGATTTTTGAGTGTTATATTGGTTCAATATAATGTACAAGGTTTTGATGTCAAATCTTTACGAGCATTTCGTGTTATTCGACCGTTAAAACTTGTCAATGGTGTACCGAGTAAATAAAAAAAAAAGAATTTAGATACATATTAGTTGTCATTATTATCCTTTCCCCGCATGCTTCAATGATATTTATTTTTGTAAAAAAAATATATACATATATATTGGTTGCATGCACTTGCTTATGCATTGTTTATATTTGGTAAAAAGAATTATTATTATTTAAATATTTCAAAAAAAAAAAAAAGAATCAAGTATTTATTTGAATTAAGAAATTAAAATTTGGAATCTTTCTTTTTTTTGTTCTTTTAAGGTCTACAAATTGTATTAAATTCAATTTTACGAGCTATGTTACCATTATTACATATTGCTCTATTAGTACTTTTTGTCATAACTATCTATGCTATTATTGGTTTAGAATTATTTTGTGGAAAAATGCATATGACTTGTTATATGAATGGAACATGTATGAAACAAAAAAAGACAGATTATATTTATGAATAAAAAAATATAATAATTTTTTTGTTTAGCTATAATGCCACGAGTGGATGAAGTTCGACCATGTGGTGAAAAAGGTCGAAAATGTGATGATGGTCAAGAATGTAAAGATCTCGGTTGGGAAGGTCCTTGGTATGGAATAATTAATTTTGATAATTTTGGTTTGGCTATGTTGACTGTATTTCAATGTATAACAATGGAAGGTTGGACATCAATTTTATATCGAGTATGTAATAAAATATCAAACATTTGAAAATTAGAGAGCTGTGCATCCATGTTTTCATGTATCCGGATGTCCAGTTTCCTATCAAGAAATATAAAATTTGAATGTTAAATTGATTATTGATTGAAAGATAAAGGAAATAGTAGTAATTTCCTTGTTATTTTTCTTCAAGTTAATTTATTTAGAAAAAAAATCTTATTCAATTAATTATTTAGATGAATGATGCTATTGGACGAGAATGGGCATGGATTTATTTTGTTTCATTAATAATAATTGGTTCTTTTTTTGTTATGAATCTTGTTTTGGGTGTTTTAAGCGGGTAATAGAAAATTTCAATAAATTAAATTTAGAATTTTATTTTATTTTATTTTTTTTTAATAATAGTGAATTTACTAAAGAAAGAGAAAAAGCTAAACAAAGAGGTGATTTTCAAAAATTAAGAGAAATTCAAATTATTGATGAATCATTTCGAAATTATATGGCATGGATTCGTAAAGCTGGTAAATAGAAAATATATTATTATAGAATAGAAATTAATTTAATTATTTTATTAAGAAATTGGAAATGATACAAATGATAGTACAGAACATGATGGTTAGTTTTATTTTTAACTGACATTTATTTCTGTCTATATATATATATTTTTCTTTTGTCTAGCTGTTCTTGATGCATCTGGTGAAGCAGTAAAAAAAGAACGAAAATTAATAACACATTGTGGTTGGCTTTGTGCTAAATTGTATTTATTTAAATATTTATTGATAAGATAATTTAATAAATTTTTTATTTTTAATTTAGTCGATATATTCATATGTTTCATGCATATACTCGACGTCGTATTCATAGAATGGTTAAATCACAAACATTTTATTGGATTGTTATTGTACTCGTATTAATGAATACAGCTGTATTAGCAAGTGAATATTATGGACAACCAGAATGGTTAACATATACTCAAGGTATGCATTATACTTAGAACATAGCAAAAGTTTTGATCATGATATTTTTAATTTTATAAAAACAATTAATATCGAAGATTTTATTGCATGAATATATAGTAAAATACCTTGTCTATAATAACTCGATCTTGGATTTAATTCTAGCATTCTTTTAGATAAAATCTATAATATTTAGAACTAAGTGAGAGTTCTAATAATAATGATTTATTATATTGCGAACTAACAAATTGAACTGATTTCAAATTTTCTTACCTTGTTGTAATTTTGTTAGCTGATCAAGATATGAAGTCATATCAAACACTCGTAATTAGCATGAACAGGGAGAATGAATTTCTTTTTTATAGTCGGAAGCTAAAAAAAATATAAAGAGATTTTCGTTAAAGTTCTGTTTCCTATAGTAGGATCCAAATGAACTCCGGTTGGCAATACTAGGGTTAAAAAAAGCTTTAATGAAAGTCTTATTGCGTGTTTAAAATGGAAATTTTATAAGTATTAGAAATATTCTTGAATTTATGAGTTCTCCTATCCAGCGATAGACACTACCTACTGTCTGTTTGAAAAAAAACTGACCGTGAGTATTTTTGCAATAACTCGATAACGGTAATAGCTAGCGACCTGCAGCTTTGACCAACTGAAAGAGTAGAAGTTAGGATATCTTTTTCTTCCATAATGTATAAGACGAAATCCTTTTAAAAGTAAACATCTTCGAAAAACATGCAAAAAAATGCATGAAAATGACTCTCTATCTAGATGAAATTTTGATTTTGCTCTTTGATTTAGATAGAGGGATCTGAGATCTATAATTCAAGATACAATGCGCTTTTCTACTTTTCATTATATTTTTTATTGAAATTCCGTGCTATTATAAGAAAAGTATGAAAACTCACGCATGTGTATACATGATTTCATTTGCTCAACATTAGAATGTAATAGAAGAATCATTTGCATTGTATCTTGAACTATAGATCTCAGGTCCCTCTATCTAAATCAAAGAGCAAAATCAAAATTTCATCTAGATGGAAAGTCATTTTCATGCATTTGCTTGCATGTTTTTCAAAGATGTTTACTTTTAAAAGGATTTCATCCTATACATTATGGGAGAAAAAGATATCCCAACTTCTACTCTTTCAGTTGGTCAAAGCTGCAGGTTGCTAGCTGTTACCGTTATCGAGTTATTGCAAAAATACCCGCAACTAGTTTTCTTTTAATAGACAGTAGAATCTTATATCTATGCCGAGCAATTTTCATTTTTGAAACTAAAGATTTCAGTATATGTATACTTAGAGCACACTAAAAGTTCTGGCCACGGTGTTTAAAGTATCTTTTCGGATAAGAGGACTTATTGAGAAATGAAAAATCAAATATACCATGTTGTAGAGCTATTTGAGGCGCATCGAATGATATATAGTAAATCCTGTTTTTATAAGACTTTAAAGGATTTAGAGTCAATCTATTGATGGACGACTATACATCCATATCCAAGCATGATAGGTTTCTGAATATTGTGATCCTTGGTATTTGTAAAATATTTTTTCTCACATACGATTTTGTAGAGTTTTTGACGGGCTATAACTTCCTATATATAGCATCTCCGGTCATCTTCTCAGCGTGGATATGGATGGGTGTGTAGTCATCTATCAGTAAATTGACTTTAGATCCTTCAAAGTCCTATGAAAACAAGATTTTTTATATACCATTCGACGTGTCTCAAGGATATTCAAAATGTATTAACCGTTGTCGGTTATCCTATGATGGAGTAACTGTCGCAAGAATTAAGTGAAAACTCTACATAATCAAAACGAAAATGATGTTCACTTTGTGATCGTTCCAAAGACAAATAAAAAAGCTCGAAATAAATGTTATCAATATTTAGAATCTATCTGTGATAAGCATTCTATTAAATGAATTTTTTTGTATTATTTGTTCTAAATACAAGATCGAATAGATAAATCTTATAACTTAGGGAAAAATATCTGTTTAATAATGAAAAATCATACAATTAAAATATATATGTCATCATATTATCTCTAAAAATAGACTTGATAGTACTAGGGATATTTTCGTTATAAATAATTGAAAAAATATTTTCTTATTTTATTTTAGAATATGCAAATCGAATATTTGTCATATTATTTTCATTTGAAATGCTTCTTAAAATGTATTCACTTGGTATAACTGGTTATTTTGTATCAAATTTTAATCGTTTCGATTGTTTTGTTGTTATTGCATCAATTATTGAATTTGTTCTTATTTATAAAGATTTAATGCCACCATTAGGTATATCAGTGCTTCGTTGTGTTCGTCTATTACGTGTATTTAAAGTAACACGTTATTGGACAGCATTAAGAAATTTAGTTGCATCATTACTTAATTCAATGAAATCTATAGCATCATTACTTTTATTATTATTTTTATTTATTGTCATATTTGCTTTATTGGGTATGCAAATGTTTGGAGGAAAATTTGATCGTATATTTGAAGTTGAAGAAAAACCAAGAAATAATTTTGATTCATTTTGGAATGCACTTATAACTGTTTTTCAAGTAAAGAAGAAAAATAAAAACAATAACTAAAATAATGCATATATATATATATTTGTTTAAATAGATTTTAACAGGTGAAGATTGGAATGAAGTATTATATACTGGTATACGTGCACTTGATGGTCTTGGTCTTGCTGGTGCAGTTGCTTGTGTTTATTTTATTGTTTTATTTATTTGTGGTAATTATATATTACTTAATGTCTTTTTGGCTAGTAAGTTATATATATATATGATGAAAAATAAATAGAAAATAAAAATAAATTATTATTATTATTGTAAATTCTAGTCGCTGTTGATAATTTGGCTGATGCTGAAAATTTAACTGCAGCTGAAGAAGAAGAACAAAAAAAACGAGAAGAAGCAAAATTAGGTGAAGAAAGTAAACTTAATGGTGATGTACCAAGAGTAGCTCAGTTAGTTTTATTTAAAAATTTTATTTATTAAATTAATTATGATTTTATTTTTAGAGAAGATGATGAAACATTAGGAACGGGTAAGATATATATATATTTATTTGATTAATTAATATATTATTTTATTAATATAGATGAAAAATTACGTAAAGAAACAGAAAATAATGAATTAGATAATGATGAAAATATTAAACAAGAACAAGATAATCGTGATCTTCATAAAGGTCTTAGTGAAGATGAAATGGGTGAACAAGATGAAGAAAGAGTTACAGCAAGGTTTGTAATTTAAATTATTTCATATATATGAATTAGAACTAAAGCAAAAATTCTTTAATTTGATTATATATGAAAATTAATTAATCATGATGATTAATGTTTTGATCTTCATTACTAAATTTTGTTTTTATTGATTTAATTCGTTTAGAAATAATCATATATTTATTTTTTTGATTTCATACATGTTTATTAATGAATCCAAATGGGTATATAATAAAATGCAGTGTTTAAATAGATTAAGAATTGTTAATAGTATAATGATACATATGAATTCAATTATTCATGATTAGAAATATGTAGTTTCAATTTACTAACCATCGACACTGGTGTCCACTGAAGTATTGATACTCATCGTTACAAAAAGTTTTCATAGATCTCGTTATTGAACGGAAGGAATAAGGATGAAAGCAGTCCATGTCATTCAAACCGCTCGAAAATTAACGAGTCTCCTGTATAATTTTTTTTTTGTATCACACCGCATGAATATTTTTTAACACTTACAAAATTGTTAGATCTTAGTCGAAATTGCGTTTTCCCTCTAAGTGAGAGCGTACTGAAGTTGTTGGTACCAGCTAAATTCGCTTGATTTTCGAGTTTTTGATTACAAATGGCACTACAAAAATAGCTATTCGTTTATAACTTAATTAATAGAAAAATTAGTAGGGCAACATCTAATATAAATTTTTGTGGCATATTAATATGAACTTTTTTTGACTTGCTTTCGAGTTTTTTTCAAGATTGACAATAATAATTTAGCAGTGAAATTTTTAAAAAATGAGAAAACCGTTGGAACCTTCAGTTTTGATGAAAAATCGACGCCATAGAAGGTATCTGACTGCGAGTGACAGTCAGGGGCGTACCTATATTTCCAGAGCAGGGAGCATAACCTCCTAAGAGTTCAAAGTCTCCGAAGCAGGTGGAACGTAATGTATTCATTTATATCAATTCAACAGCTATAACTCCTAAAAAAGCGCTTTTTTTCTATTTTGTTGTCCAGAAAAAACGAAGTTTTCAGAAGCAGAAGGGGGCGTAACGTCCCACTCGCCCCTTTTCTAGTTACGCCCCTGGTGACAGTGGACTCTTAGCTTCTTGGATCTGACTGTCTTCAGGTTGAAGACAAGTAGAACGCAAGATATTTTTTTTGCTCTGTCATATCGGTAAACAGCTGTGAAACGAAATGTTCATTAATATGGCTGTATCAATCTACGTTTCATATACGATAAAATATGCACGTATACAGCTGATTCACGACGCTAGAATGTAAGAGAGAGTGATTTTTCGATTTTTTTCTACAAAATCTCTCAATAATTGATGGCATAATAGAAAATAATTGTAGGAAAGATTCAGTCCCTCTGACTATGTCTAGTCATGTAGGATGCACTAGTCACCGAATATAAAAAACCAGAAACAAGTACGTCGTATCTTTGGAACGATTATTCAATTCCGATTAGAAAATTTCACTGGGAGTATCAACATACAGTTTGACTGATTGAGTTCTATCCTCGAGTTATACCTTAAGTCCGTTTGTATGTAAGGGAGAGTGGCTAAGTTCACAATAGCCTTCATCTGGTTAAATTACTAATAATAATTTGGAAATTATTACTAGTATAAAATCTCGCAATCATGAAGAGCAACTCTCAAGAAAACTTAGATTATTTTTATTTTAAAAAAAAAAAAATCTTAATTTTAGACCGCGTCGTTTATCTGAATTAAATATTGTTGAAAAAGTTAAACCAATTCCACCATATTCATCATTATTTATATTTCAACATACAAACAAGTAAATATATAATTTAATAATTTGAATGAAATTTTCAAAAATTGAAAATATTTTAGATTTCGAATATTTTGTCATCGTGTTTGTAATCATCGTGCCTTTGGATATATAATACTTATTTGTATAATACTTTCAAGTATTTCACTTGGTGCAGAAGATCCTGTTGATGCAGATTCATTTCGAAATCGAGTAAAAAATAAAAATAGATTTTTCAAAATATTAATATTAATTAAATTCTCTTTTTCAAATAGATTCTTAATACAGCTGATTATTTTTTTACAGCTGTTTTTACTGTTGAAATTTGTTTAAAAGTAAGAAACAAAGAAAAAAAAATATATATATATATTCAAATAATAAAATAATCTATTTTATCATTAGGTTGTTTCCTATGGTTTAATACTTCATCCAGGTGCATTTTGTCGAAATCGTTTTAATATTCTTGATATTGTCGTTGTGTCTGTTTCATTAATATCTATGTTTATCAAAAAAGATCGTGCAATGTCAGTAGTTAAAATTCTTCGAATACTTCGTGTACTTCGTCCATTGCGTGCTATTAATCGTGCAAAAGGTCTTAAAGTAAGTATTGAAGATTAAATTAAAATATAAAAATCTATTAGTACAATTCCTACAAGATTAATTTCTTGAATACTGCTGTCTCTTCAGGTTGAAGACAAGCAGAACACAAAGACATTTTTTTCTTCCATTCTGTCGTATCGATAAACAGCTGCGAAATGAAATGTTCCTGTATCAATCAGGGTTGCCATCTCTTCCGCTTTTTCAGATAAAAGACTTTCATTTGATTATTCACAATTCGACATAGAAAAAAAGAACTGTTATTGTTCAATAAATCGTGATCACTGAAATATATTGTCTGTCATCATAATTATTAGTCAATCTGTTAACTTACTGGAACAACATGACATTTTTTTTGCTATGAACGAGATATTGCTTTCAACTTCTCTATTGATGAAGTAAAAACACTATTCTACGTTCAACTAATAGCTAACCCTGCTGATCAAATTACTTTTCTCTGCTTTATTGACACAGAAAAAGGACACAAATCCGAAAATTTAAACCACTTTTTTTGTAACAAATATATAACGAGATAATAACTGAAGATGAAAATCGAAAACAGTAACAATAATGCTACAATCAGATGAACATAAATCTATAAAAATCACAGAGAATGCTCGTGAGTCCAAGAATTATTTATCATCCACATCGACATTTACATCATAAAACTATACAAAATTCAAAAAGTCAGCAAAAATATAGGTTTCTGCTTTTTCGACTTCATGAAGTGGCAATCCTGGTATCAATCCATATTTCATATACAATAAAATATATATACAATGAATTCACGAAGATAGAACGCAAGAGTACGTAAGAATTGTCATAATCTAAGAGATTAAAAATCTAAAAATTCTTGGATCTGATGGACTCTAATCAGACCGGACTGGTAGTTCATGATTACATCTGTGAAGCAAGATTCAAATTTCTATTCCTATACTTCAACATTCTTTTTATATTTTATTTTTGAAAAATGAAATTTTTTTTTTTTTCGTTTATTTAATAGCATGTTGTACAATGTGTTGTTGTTGCAATAAAAACTATCGGAAATATTATGTTAGTTACTTTTCTTTTACAATTTATGTTTGCTTGTATGGGTGTACAATTATTTAAAGTAAATTTAATTTGTAGAAAAAAAAAAAAAAAAATTTTTTTTGTTTTATATTAGGGAACATTTTATTCATGTAATGATAAATCAATGTTGAATAAAGAAGATTGCAAGTATGAATAATTTCGTTTTTTTTTGTTTAATTAATATTTATATATTTTATTTTTCCTATAGAGGATTTTATTTGAAAATTGCTGATGATCATATATATAAAGAAGCTCGAGAATGGTCTAATGAAAGATTTCATTTTGATAATGTTCCACAAGCTTTATTAACATTATTTACAGTAGCAACATTTGAAGGATGGCCAGGGTATTATTAATTGAATTAAAATATATATAAATTGTTTGATTTTTTTTGTTTAAGTTTATTACATACAGCAATTGATTCGAAAGGTGAAGGTGAAGGTCCAGTTTATAATTATCGACCATTTGTTGCTCCATTTTTTATTGCATTTATTATTGTAAGAACGTTTGTTTGTTTTTTTTTTTTTGTATATTAAGATTATTTAATTTTGATTTTTTTAGGTAATTGCATTTTTTATGGTGAATATTTTCGTTGGTTTTGTTATTGTTACATTTCAAAATGAAGGTGAACAAGAATATCGTAATTGTGAATTGAATAAAAATCAGGTAGAAATTTATTTATTTTTTTATGATCAAAGAAATAATTTGTTTTTTTTTTTTTTTCTTTTTCAGCGTAAATGTATTGAATTCGCTCTAAAAGCTAAACCGATAAAACGTTATATACCAGTGAAAAAAAGTCAATTAAAAATTTGGTGGTTTGTTACATCGCCTCCATTTGAATATGCTATTTTTTCATTAATTATGATTAATACAGTTGTACTTGCTATGAAAGTATGTCGTTCTTTTTTTTTTTATTAATGATCAAAGACAAATTTATTTATTTTTTTTTTTAGTATCATAAACAACCTGATAGTTATTCTAAAGCATTAGATTATTTAAATATTGTATTTACAGCTATATTTGGTTTAGAATTTGTTCTTAAAATGGCTGCATTTCATGTTAAAGTAAAGAAAAATAAAATTTAAAAAAAAAAATATTTTTTTTTTTTTTGTTCTTTTCGTTTGTAGAATTATTTTAGTGATCCATCAAATTGTTGTGATTTTATTATTGTTGTTGGTAGTGTAATTGATATTATTTATACTGATATAATAGCAGTAAGTTTGTATAGAAAAATTTCAATATTTTTTACTAAATTCAAATCATGAAAATGCTTCAATTTATTCTTGCATGTCTTCTTTATTTTTTTTTTATTGATTAGCGAGTTTGGAAATCACATCAGGTATTTGAATAATGTTGTTGAGTCATTGTCTCTCTATCTATATATATACATATGAAATTCATGTTTTCACATAACAAAAAAGCATCAATTTATAAAATTTCATTTATTTAATTGATGATATAAGAATATTTTTTTTATTTTGTTTTTGCTTTTTTTTTTTTTTGTAGCCTGGTACAAATGTAATCAGTATTAATTTTTTTCGTCTATTTCGTGTTATGCGTTTGGTGAAAGTATTAAGTCGAGGAGAAGGTATTCGAACATTACTTTGGACATTTATTAAATCATTTCAAGTAGGTTTCAATGGCTTCTTTTTTTTTTTTTTGTATACGAAATTTTGTTTTCAGGCTTTACCTTATGTTGCTCTACTTATTGCTATGCTGTTTTTTATCTATGCCGTTATTGGAATGCAGGTAAATTTTTTTTTTAATATGAGAAATAACGATTGTTAATATAATGTAGCATAGTATAGCAGGAAGAAAACATTTTTGTTTTTATCGTTTGCTTATCTTATACAGAGATGAAAAATAGAAGAGAGATAATGAATGAAATTTTATAATTATTTTGTCAAGTAAAAAAACAATATCTAAGATCAAGATTTGATTGTTAAAAAAATTAATTGATATTGAATCAGTGACGAAAAAAAAAACACCGAATGTTTAATTTGAAACTTTAATCTGTATAAAATTATACGATCTTGAATATGTTTTTTGCATAATGTTCAATAGGAATGACATGAATATCTGCGATTTTTAAAAAATGATACGTCTGTGACTCCACCGACGAAGTGATACCATAAGACATACATTTGCTAAGGGAACATCATCAAATAATAAATCGCTTTTCAAATGAGTCAGTGAAGTTTTCAAAAAACAAAAAAGCCGTACTCCTTCATATCATCTTTAAAACCAACTTTCAAATGCAAATTTTGCACCAATAAAGCTCTCGATGGCATCAATTCGTTGTGAACGTATCAAATTTTCTAATATCTTGTATTTTACACTTTCGAAATGGACTAACCGATCGAAATCTTATACAAAGTTTGAATTCATCATTGAAGAAGAATAGATCCATATGGAAGTGTAAGACGGTTGACTGAGCCAACGCTCAAGCGATTTGGCCACATCATCACTATTGCCTAAAATAGTTTTTGAAGACTCCAGCTGCCGCCGCCACCGAAGCCTAAGACTTTTGTAGTCGTCGCTGCCGGGGATTGAGGTCTTTGTAGCTGCCGCCGAAGTCCGGGACTTATGTAGCCGCCGCCGGATCCTGAAACTTTTGTAGCCACCACCGGAGATTGAGACTTTTGTAGCTCGACCCATGCATTGGCTTACATCTCTAAGCCCATGGACATGAATCCTTATAAGATTTCTCTAATCTCTGTAGAACTTAGCTAATGAAGTAAGACTCATGCTAAAAAGTAATTGATTACTTACTGAAATTTTTTTGTAAATCTAATTCTATTGTCTAGAAAATTGTAATTCATCAATAAGAATTTTAACTTAATAATATTATTTTTTTTTGTTTGATTTAGATGTTTGGTAAAATAGCTTTGGATGAAGAAACATCAATAAATTATAATAATAATTTTCAAACATTTTTCAATTCATTACTTGTACTTTTTCGGTAATTGAAATATTATGTTTTATTAAGAAATTGTTTTTTTTTTGTTTTAAATTAGTTCGGCAACGGGAGAAGCTTGGCAAGAAATTATGTTTGATTGTGGACCAAGTGGAGGTGCAAAATGTGACAGTCGATCACGATCTAGAAAAGGTGAAAGTTGTGCAAGTCCTGTTGCAATTCCATATTTCTTATCTTTCTATATACTTTGTTCGTTTTTAGTAAGATAAAAACTAATAAGTTTTTTAATTAGATAAAAAAACAAAAACAATAATTTTTTTAAAAACAGATTATCAACTTATTCGTTGCTGTTATTATGGATAATTTTGATTATTTAACTCGTGATTGGTCTATTCTTGGACCTCATCATCTCGATGAATTTGTTCGTCTATGGTCAGAATATGATCCAGAAGCTAAGTAAGAAATTTTTACCTATTCCCTTTTGTTTTTTTTCTTCTTGATTTAAAATTAAAAAATCAAAATCAAAATAATAAAAATTCTAACAGAGGACGTATAAAACATCTTGAAGTAGTTAATCTACTTCGAAGTATCACGCCACCGTTAGGGTTCGGAAAATTCTGTCCCCATCGGATTGCGTGCAAGGTATTTTTCTATTGTTTAAATATTGTCAATTTATATATGTATTTGAACATTTCTATATCTTTTTTTTGCCTAAATATCCCATATTTGTTTTTCCTTTTCCCAATTTAATTTGTATTGTATTTGTGTATTTTATGTGCTTTTGTTGTTGTTTTATTCAGAGGACGTATCAAACATCTCGATGTAATAACATTATTGAGAAAAATTTCACCGCCACTCGGTTTCGGCAAACTATGTCCACATAGAGTGGCTTGCAAGGTATTCATATATTATTTTTTATTAATGAATTTTTATTACTTATTGATATTTATAATGAAATTCATCACGAGAGAATCATTCGTACTGATATTTATCACTTGTAGAGACCTGAGGACTCGGACCCGGTCGGATTCACACGGAAGGTTTTTTACATTAATACTTGGCACTTTTCGTGTACATGAATAAGTGAAGAATCAAGATTTCAGCTATTTATTCGCTACTCTCAGAATCTAGAGAGTAGCTGGTCCACAAAAACGTGTAACTGGACTCAAGAAAAAATAAAATTATAAACCCAGACCCGACAAAAAAATAAAACTTTGGACCGAGACCTATAGCTCTCTAACCGCTTGAGCTTATATTGACCTTACAATGTTTATAGATCATCAGACTTTTGATTTTTTTGGTATGTGTCAAAAAATGAATTGAATATTCAGTAAAACGATCCTAACCAGGCTCATGGGGTTGAACTCTAGTAGACCTTCTTGTGAACTCAAACTGTGGAAATCAATTCAAGTAGTTTTCTCGTTAGGGAATTACACTTCACATCTTTTCATTCCAATGTATTTCTTGTTTTCTCATCAATCTTAAACAAATTCTATCTATACATAATCTCATCCATATGATTGTTTAACGACAAAATCTCAATTAACTTCATATTTATATCAATAAGTAATAAAATCACATATTCACTAAACACATTTATATATATATATGTTAAATATAAAATTCATCTTTTTTGTTTTTAAAATTTATTCATATTCTAAATTTAATTATAGAGATTGGTATCAATGAATATGCCATTAAATCAAGATGGTACAGTTATGTTTAATGCAACTCTTTTTGCATTAATTCGTACATCATTAAAAATAAAAACTGAAGGTAATATTGATCAAGCTAATGAAGAATTACGTGCTGTTATACGTAAAATATGGAAACGAACACCACAAAAATTACTTGATCAAATAATACCACCACCAGGTTCTGAAGATGATGTAACTGTTGGAAAATTTTATGCAACATTTCTTATACAAGATTATTTTCGTCGATTTAAAAAACGTAAAGAACAAGCAGCTAAACAAGTACAACTTGGTTTTGCTGGTGCAAGTAAAAATTCTGTTGCATTACAAGCTGGTTTAAGACAATTACATGATTTGGGACCAGAAATACGACGTGCTATATCAGGAGATTTAGATGATGAAGAAACATTTAATCGATTTTGGCGTGAAGAAGAACCACAACATCGTGTATGTAGAAAATAAAACTAAAAATTATTTTTCTTTTTAAAGAAATTCTTTTTTTTTTTTTTTGTATTTTTTAGCGAGAACATTCATTATTTGGTACAATGATTGATGCATTTGCACGTGCTATGCGTAAACCACAACAAGTACTTGGATATGTACCTGGTTTTACAGCGGCATCAACATCATCACAAGCACCACCTGGTACTCGTATTCGACGTGAACCTGATGGACCAGTATCATTAAAATTAGATGCTGATCCTAATTTACATATACCATCACCATTTCGTGTTGGGTATGAAATTAATTTTTTTTTTTTTTTGATTATAAATATTGTTTATTTTAGAGCTATTACTGCTGAGAGACGTGGTATTGAACCTGATACATATGTATTTCAAGTACCAGAACATGAAGAAGGTCCATTAGGACCATTAACATTAACAGATCGTCGAGGAAATATTCGAAAAGAGAATAGTTTTCGTCATCGGTAAATGAAATATTACTTCCTTCTATAGAGAAATTTAAATCTGTGTATTCTTCTTTTTTTTTTATTATTTTAATTTTAATTAGTGAACAATCTGAAACATCAAATATTGATCATCATGATCCAAATTCTCGTCGTCGTCGTTCTATATTAGCACGTATATTTGCTAAACGTAAAACTGATAGTCAAGAATCAGCATTAGTTAAAGGTTCAACAAGTACTGATGAATCAAATCAACCACGAACAACGGTAAAAATCTATTTAATAAACTTTAAATTATCTATAGTAGTCTTTCTTCTCATCTCTATGAAGTGTTACTATTCTTTATAATCTTGCATTGATATTTTACGTGTATATATAAGATAATTTAATCTTCATTTCATAAATACACATGTACTCGAATAATGATTTACACATCTGCTGTTTCATCTTGTGAAAAATTAATATATGCATCCAATTTGTACAGTGTTCGATGTTTTGTCAAAATATATAATTGATTTAAATTTTTTTATTTCTTTCTTATACCAACGTCCACATTGTTGACATGTTTTTGTGTAGAGTGACATAAACTCAATTCTAGCTCTCTCTGTGATAGAACTGACAGTGCACAGGTCATATATGAGTGATATTTTTAAAATTGTCTGTTCCTATAACTTTTCAATAAATCGTTCAATTTTGCTCAAAATTTTTACGATAGATATAAAACAAAAAGTTATATAAGTGACGAAAATTTTCAGCTCTTCATCTTATACCATTCAGGAGAAAAATGTTTTCTAAATTCTACAATTGTGTTTCACCAAACAACGAGACATATGTAGGCTTATAAAGGAAGTTTTCCTCTATTAGATGATATAGACATTATTACGTTTTTTTTGCGTACGATAAATATGTCAATAGATGGCGGCACCTTCGCTGTAGCTACACCAAAGTTTGCGGTACCTATCAAAATTTCTACGATACGCAACAGAACTTATTATACTATAAAATGTAGAATACCGATATTTCTAGTTGAACGCATTCGAAAAATATATAGCGTCTTTCAATTCAATAATTCAATAGAGAAAATGTTTGGAACTGTCGAACTGCACGCATGCGCATGCAAAATATTAGTTCAATATCATAAAGAATAGTAGCACTTCTTTGGAGACAATTACTTTTGTCCAGAACTGTATTTGAATTTTTTTTTTCTTTTTTAAAGACTGCTAATCGTTCATTAATTGTTGAAAATGGTGATACAATACGTAGTAAGTTTGATCTATTGTTATGTTATATGCATGCATATGATTATTAGCATGTTTTGTGATTGTTGTTTGTGTTGTTTTTTTTTTCTTCTTCTTATTACTTCATAGCCCGACTTACTTCTAGCACGGACAATCAATCTGACTGGATCCCAATACCCACACCCCGTTACATCTATTACCCAACAAGATCAACCAGCAGTCTCCATACATATGTATAATATAAATTATGAATATCAAGGTTGAGCAAAATTCTTTCTTTTTTTTTTTAAATTTTATTTTGAATTAAAATTTCATTAATTAATTTGACTATTATTATTTTTTTTGATTATTATCTAGATCAAACAAGAATACAACCTAATTCAATGCAAATCAAAGGCAAAGATGATGTTGAAGAATTAGTTAATGCATGTCTTGATACATCCGGTATTGATCGTCGTTATAGTGCAATAATATTAGAAGAATTACGTGATTGTACAAATTTAACTCATGATCAATTACAACAAGCTGCACATGAAATAACATCACAACTTAGTTCAAATTCTCCACAATATGCATCATTTACATCATCAGTCTATGATTCAGCTACGACAAATATACCTTCATCAGATGAACGTCTTCATGATTCATCTATTTATTATAATAATGTGTGATTTTTTTGAATCTTCTTCATTTCGGTTTCGTTTTTTTATATATGGTGCTCTCTCTCTCGCGTCTATATTCTTCTTAATAATTTGCACGACATTTTATTTTTTATTTTTTCGTCTTCCGAACACGATTTGTCTAGTTTTTCTTTCTCTCTCTTCCTATTATTAATCAATGTACAGTATTCTGTGCGTGATAGATTGTAGAAAATTTTCAAATCTATATTTATTAATTCATATAAATATTGATTTGATTGTTACCAACATAGTGTTTTCCAAAACTTTTTACTTTATTTATTTTTTTGTTTGTTTGTCTTAATTCCCTAATTTTATGTGTTTTGTTATCTAACAAGATTAACATAATTAATATTTCTTTTCTTCACCTCATTGCTTGCGCGCAGTTTTCTTTTCTTTCTTCTTTTGTTTGGAATATAATTTTAAGAAAAAAAAAAATTTTATTGACTTTTGTCTGAAGTGATTAAATAAAGATTTTATTAAATAAATTTACATAGAATCAAATATAAAAAAAGATTTATTTTTTATTATCAAAAAAAAAGATAAAAAATGAAAAAGTAAAATTTTTCATTAATTATTAGATGATAATCATTCAAAATTATGTAACCGATGGGGTAAAGCTGCGATGGCCGAGCGGTTAAGGCGTTGGACTTGAAATCCAATGTGATCTTCACGCGTAGGTTCAAATCCTACTCGCAGCGCTTTTTTTTTCTTTTCCTCTTGTTTTTCTATAATGTACGTCAATTGCGCTAACACATGCGTTATACTATTCTACGCATTGTAATATAATGAAATCAACATTGATCTATCATTTATTTTTTTTGTGTACTGAAAAAGTAAGTACACTCTAGAATCGGTCAGTGTGTCCGTCCGGCCGTTTACATAATAACTTTCGAAAGGAGGGTTCGATCGGGATGAAATTTTCTACACATTTTAGTCTCGACAATATCTCGATCGAGTCCAAAGATGAGAATGATTTACCGTGCCGTTGCTGAGTTATTGCAAAAATAGTCATTATTCCCTATGTTTTTCTATACGAAGATCGACCTATTCCTGCTTTCGTAAAAAATTATTCGATAGAGAATTTCACGAGCTACAAAATTGTATATAAAACATTAGGAAACAAGAAGGCTAAGTTACCTATGGCAAAGATAATTAAACAGAAATTGGTTCTGTTTTTGCCCACGCTCTAATTAATCCACAATTAGAGCTCTATCTTCCTATCACAGAGATGATACTTCGAGGTTTTCTGGGGCGGAGAACTCGAATCTGAGCTCCACTTGCCTTGAAATTCTATTGGTTGAGCAGTATCCAATAGCAATTAAGTTATAGGAAAAACGGCTTTCTTAGGGTAAACCAAGGCGAAGAATTCAAATCTGAGCTATATTCGCCTCCAAATCCTATTGGTTTAGCACTAACCAATAGAAATCAAGTATTTATAGAAAAGGCTTGCCAGGATAATTTTGACGTCCACACATTCTAGGATGACTCATCTGTCTAATTCACTTTTTGAAGTACACATAACTCTCGGATTTAAATCCGAGGTTTCCACATTTATTTAAATTAATAAGTGATAACAAGTAAAGTTGAGGATAATCAACAATACAAAGTATGCTTTCAATTGAATGTGCTTCACAAGTGAGTTTATTTATTTGATGATAAATTCGATGTAAGATTTTTTCATAAATTCTATCAAGTATTTGATTATCTATTGAAGATGTACAATTAAACGATGATTTCACAGATAAATCAAAGTTATTTATATAAAGAGGATCGAACACTAATTGATTAAATCGTTCATTAACATCCACTAATGAAAAGAGTACATCAATCATATTCAATTTCTTGAAAATATTAAATAATATTTCATTAGGTAAATCGAGAATATTGATACTCTTTTTCGTTGAAGTGTCCATGTTGAATGACTACTGTTTAGTGATTTCGTTTAATATATATGTATATATGTCTTCATTTTCTTATTGTCGTCTGTGACAAAAATGAAGAATAGATGTTAAGGTGTGATGACCTTAGACAATAATATATAATGTTATGTTCTGTCCTGTCTAACATTTTCCGTTGTTCATTAGTTGAATGATTGAAAAATGCCGAAAAGAAAAATATCGAAAGGAAAAATGTCAAAAAAATATTTCAACGGAAAAATATAGATAAGAAAAGACAACGGGCAAAACGTAAAAATATTGAAACAAAAAAAACACCGACAGAAAAAATCATGAAAAGAAAAATATTAAAAGTTATGACAGTGACATGTTGTCGAGTTTCAATATTTAAAACATTCTTCACTTCGTTGTTCCATACTTGTGCTGTTACTCTTTTCTCTGACTACAATATCTATATATATGCAGTAGAGTGAATTACACATCCTATTATTACTAACTTCCTTCCCATTGATATCTCTAAGTTACCACATCTTTGATTTGTTTCTGAATTAAAGCTCATTATCAATTAACGAAATGAGTTATATGAACTTATTTAAGTAAAGAATGATTATAATATATATTATTTTACATTGTTTAATGTATGACTAGGATAACATTAGATTAGTTATTTTTATTTGTTGCGTATAACATTTGGCTAATTTATTTATAATGTCAATTATACTATGAATGATTTTGTGATCATAATTTTTGTATTCAGTAATTTTTTTTTATCTTTAGTCAAAATATTTTATTAATCATTTTTTATTCCCTAAACATTTTTCTATTGATATTTTGCTTTTCGAGGTTATTTCTATTTGAGATTTTTCTTTCAACATTTTTGTTCGTTTTTTTCCTTTTCGCGTTTTTTCTTTTTTATATTTTTCTTTTGACATTCCATCATTCGACACTTTTCTTTTCTGCCTTGTTCCATCATATCTATTAGTTATCAATTCGTCAAGTCATCATTGTGTTGTTGAAATGTTTATCAAATAGCGCATTCTTTATAACTTATAATATAGTCTTTACAATCAAACATTCATTATTTGGTGTTTTATTATAACAATTGATATTCACTAATTAATGAATTATTGAACACGGTGAAATCCTACAATTTATTAAATTTTCAAGTTTGAACATCGAAAATTGAATATTATAAAATCTTTGCAAATTATTCGTGTGATACTTCAAATAGTAACACTCTCAACTGTTGTGTCATTTTCTCAAATCTTGTAGTTTTTGATGATTCAATAAATATGAAAACAAGTTTACTAATTATACAACCTATTAAATAAACTTTTGATAGATTATTACAGTTAAATACATGACTAGTTACAAATAGGTATTTAATGAAAACCATATCAATGATCTAATTGCTCAGCTTTTCTTTCAAATGAGTTATTCACTAACTTCTTATCACATGCAAGAAATAGGACACAAGATCTATTTTTAATTATCGAAAGTTCAATGGTTAATAACATCGTAATTGGTTAATATGGAAGATATTAGTTATTTCTGTCACAACTATAGCCACGTCAGTAGAACAATTGATCTCGGCATATCTATCTTATGAGACAATACATATCATAAAATAAGGCAAAAAATCAAAAAGACTGCACAACACGATAACTCATGATAATTAAATAAATGAAAATTGTTTTGACATACATAGAGTCGCTGCCATAATTTGTTCAACAAAGCTTTTTTTGAAATTTTTTTCTGTAGTCTTAGACGCTAAAAACAATCTCAATAGTGGTTATAGTAGGGAACAGAGATCGACATCAGGATAGGACTGCCGTGATGCTCTGGCCTGTCCTGGCCTGCTATAAAGAGCAATTTTTTTATCCCTCTTCCAATTACCCTACAGGACGACTAGAGCACAGGATAAAGCAGGGCAAAATAGTTTGTCCTGGTAATATTTATGTGTTATAAAAGATCATTTGATTGGCTTACTGCAGCCAAATATGAATCTTTGAGAACATACACCAACTATGTAATTCTAACAGCTGATGATGATTTAATGTTAAGATTAATTTCACTAGAACTGATGTATATAATATTTACTCTATTTTATCAAAGTTCAATACGATCCATTGTGATTTCGAGGTGATCGAGAAGATTGTACCAAATCATAAAAAAATTATGCAAACAATAAAAGAACAGGAATTTTGATCTACTGTTAAATAGTAATGAAAAACTTTGAATCAGTTAAACGATCGTACTCAGTCACCAAGTATCGCTGTTTCTACTGACGGATATCTTTGGTTTGTATGAATATGCTAAGTGTCATGCACCCATGCTAAAAGACAAGATACTAAATTAACAAGTGTTATATCTTCATCAAAAATAAGTTAAAATAACACTGGTTTTAGTCGATTATAATCTAATTTATAGTCGGCAAGGTTAATTATTTTTATTGTCAAGAGTTTTATTTTGAATTTTCTCTGATCTATTAAAAAGATTTGTCAATTTTTATTAATTTGAATTTAAATATACATTTCAATCGAAAAGAAGATTTGAAAAAATCTAAGAAATTAGAAGAAGCAAAATATTAGACTAAAATCAGATTATAATTGATTATCAATTATACAATGTCAATCGATTTTTAGTAGGATTTGTAATTATTTTTGTATATAGATAATATTCTAATGAAATTATCTAAAACACGTATAAGCACTGATTATAAACATGAACAAAGCTTTTATAAATTAAGAATCGATTTCATGGTGGAACTGAATTTGCATGCCTTGAAGACACCATGTCCTGCCCTTCTCTGAGGGAAGAACAGGGCAGGGTACAAAAAGTATTCTGTATCGGTCTCTGGTAAGGAACATTATTGCTCAACAAGAATATAAAAAAAATTAGATTTTCAGCGTCTAGAGTAAGCTAAATAATTCTATTCAGATCATACAAAAAACGATAGAGCAAACAATTCTCTACACTTTGACAACGGAACATAACCAACTATCGAATCGCTTTCGAGCCAAAAATAGACGCATCTTGGTAGAGCTCAGGAAGCTATGTCCCCCCTAAAAAGGGTTCGTTCCCATGGTCTGTTTC